GTATACTTGGGATGGGTACTGATCTGCTGCCCAAGGCTCAATAGATTACCTAGGCCTCCTCACTGACACCCACATTCAGGGCGTCTTGATCAGTCCTATGCTGGATTCCCAGGCTGATGCCTGGGATTCAAGAGTTAACCTTTGTCTGGTCAGCTGTTTCTGGGGGTTAAACCAGCCCAGTCTTAATCCCTTTGATCATCAGTCCTCCATATCTGTTACTGGCTTTCTTGAGTTCAGCTCAGTACTTAACCAAGGGAGTCTGCCTCTTCTTCGATCAGCCACTAAATGAAGTTTCTGTTTCCCAGACTCTCTGGCCATGGGATTGTAAGCTGGCACTCCCCAGATCTATGTCTAAAATCCATATATGAGAGAGTACATGCCATGTTTCTCTTTTTGTGACTGGGTTACCTCACTCAGGATGGTTTCTTCTAGTGTCATCCATTTGCCTGCGAATCTCATGATCCCATTGTTTTTTTCTGCTGAATAGTACTCCATTGTGTAGATGTACCACATTTTCTCTATCCACTCTTCAGGTGAGGGACATCTAGGTTGCTTCCAAGTTCTGGCTATTACAAATAATGCTGCTATGAACATAGTGGAACAGACATCTTTGTTGTATGAATGGGCATCTTTTGGATATATGCCTAAGAGTGGAGTTGCTGGGTCTTGTGGTAGGTTTATTCCCATTTTTCTGAGGAATCTCCATACTGATTTCCAAAGTCGCTGAACCAGTTGGCACTCCCACCAGCAATGGAGGAGTGTCCCCCTTTCATCACATCCTCTCCAGCATAAATTGTCATTGGTGTTTTCTTATATGAAATGAAAAAGGAATACAAGAAAGGCAATTTTTTTTGTCAATGTCCTTTTGTATCAATGTTTTAGTCACTTTTGTGTCACTGTGACCAAAATACCCAACAGAAAAAAACCTTTAGGGAAGAAAGAGTCACTGTAGCTTATGATTTTAGGGGGTTTTGGTTCATCACTGGAGGGAAGGGGTGGCAATGGCAGAGGGTGGGGGAAGGGCTTGCATTACAGTAGACCAAGAGGCAGGAGGGAACCAGGGCTAGGGCCAGGGATAGCTTTCAAAGACTTGTCTCCATCTCTACCAGCTAGGACCATAGCCTTCTTTTGATTTTTCTTGAATATTTTTTGATCATGTTGAATTTTTTTCTTGATCAGAAGTTTATATTAGGTTTTAGAATTAAAACACAAATCACCTCTAGTAGAGTCAAGAAACCTTCGTTGGAGGGTACAGGCTTTGTGTTTTTAATTGGTCGGCTAATTATCCTGATGTGTAGAGTAGGTTTGATCAATACACTTAGGAAGAGGAGATAAAGGCGGTGGGAAGCTGGTGGGTAGGGGAAGAAGAGGTCCTCGGCCTCGGGCCCATCCTCAGCTAAAATGTAACAACAGGAAGCTGGTAAAGTCCGAAGTGGTGAGACACGGCTTAGATGACAACCTCCCAAATGAGGTTTCCCTAATGAGGTGGGGTGAAGCCTGGAAACGGCTGACGCTTGCCTCGGTGGCTATTCAGAGGAGGGGCTTTCCGCTAAAGGCACACCAAGGAGGAGGAAAGGGGAAATGAGAAAGGGAAATAACATTAAAAGTCTAAATCAAGGGACCAATGTAAGTAATTGTTGACAGATCCGGAGCCTAAAAGCAGGTTTAGTAAAATAACATTACTTTGAAAAATTGATGCCCTTGAATTCCTAATCCTCCTCCCTGCTCCTACCACTTGGGTGTACATGTGTATACTGCTGTGCCTGGTTCACACAGTGCTGGAGCCTTGTGCATACCATGCAAGCATTCCAGCCCCTCATCTTCTCTTTTAATGAGGACACTCAGATTACTTCAGCTTACTCTAACTACCTTCCTAAAGACCCTATTGCCAAATGCTGTCACTTTCCAAGGCACTAGGAGTTATGATTTTAACATTCAAATGGCAACAGGGAAGAAATTCACACAATTCAGGTCCTATTATCGAGAAACAATGGTGAGTGTAATTACTAATTTTGGTAGAACTTCTATAGGTGAAACATGGGGCTCTCCCTACCTTAGCCCAGAGTTTCCCACACATGTCATCAGCTCCCCTTCATCCTGCAGGTTCAGCATCAATATTGCCCCAGCGTGCCCAGGTGAGAAATGCCATTCTGGATTCCTGCTCCAGACTACACCCTTAGAAATGCTAGCATAGGCCCAGCAAGCCCTGCAGGTGAGCCTCATGCTGCCTCATCTGAGAGCCCGGCTTTAGCTATTGGAACTGGTGAGCTGAGGTACAGAGTTGGTTTCAGTTGTAAATTCTGGTCATGATGTTCCCAAGTCCTTTTCTAAAGGATGATTCTCCCAAGACATCAGGTTATGATTGATGGTCCGGGTCTGTCATACAACAGCATTTAAATCAGTGCCCATCTGTCTTGTATCATTTGACATTCAAATATCACCTACTCATTTGAGGGTTTAAAAGGAGGTAAAGTTCCATGGGAAGATTTCTCATTTGAGGAACCAGATTCCTTGCTAATCTGGGTTTCAATGTCATTGTCTTGAAAAAATGAGAAATCTGCATTGCTTTTCTAGTTCTGGTAGGCTAGCATCCATAGGAATGGCTGAGTACCACTGGTGTCTCAGCAGTGATAAGAGTTGTGACATTCTGGGATTCACTGACTAGTGAGACCAAACACCCAGAATGATGGCAGTTCCAGAATTCTACAACTTGTTTCCCTTCAAGTTGGAAGTCTCTCAGAGGTGAGCATGAGGTTTGGACAAAATTGTCTTAATCTTTGCTGAGTTACTATAACAAAAAACCTGTTGCCGGGTAATATATTAGGAAAAAGCCCTTTTTAGCTCTCATTTTGGAGGTTCAAGGGCATGCTGCTGACACCTAGTTGTTGTGGTGAGGTTACCATGGTAGATGGCTTCACAGTGGCAAGAATGAGTGCAAGAAGGATGAAGGGCATGGGGTGTGGGAGGGGTTAGGATGAGGGAATGTTTTAAGCTCCTTCCTTCCTTCCTTCCTTCCTTCCTTCCTTCCTTCCTTCCTTCCTTTCTTTTCTGGTTTTGTTTTTTTTTTTTGAGACAGGGTTTCTCTGTTTAGCTCTGGGTGCCCTGGAACTTGCTCTGTAGACCAGGCTGGTCTTGAACCCAGAGATCCAACTACCTCTGCCTCCTAAGTGCTGGGATTAAAGGCGTGCACCGCCACTGCCACCACCACCTGGCTCAAGCTTTCTTACAGCACCCATTCTCACAGAATAACACACACCCCTGTGACTTAGTCCACTCCCCCAAAACTGCATGAGTTCACTTATTTACCTCCTGATAGGCTGCCTTTTAAAGGTCCTGATGCTGCCATGCAGGAAACAGACTTATGGTATGTGACCTTGCAGGCTAACTGTATCCCAGACACAGGGCCCATCCCTGATGTATCCTTTAGATGTGTCTGAGAGTACGCACTAGGTGCTTGATAAGCAGGGGAGGACAGAGTTGAGACTCAGCATGTTGCCCTGGAGACCTCAAACTTCCCCAGATGCAGGGTGCAGCTTCCCTTTCGAACAACCTCAGCAGAACCATGGGCCCCAGTGTGGCTTCCTCATCAGGAATCCTTGCTCCCATGTTTCCTTCTTAGTCATCATCTTTAATTTTTAAATGTACTTTTATATATGTATATGTGCCCACTTGTTTGTATATATACCACATGTGTGTCGGTTCTTGAAGAGCGCTGCTGCATATTCTGATGCTCAAGTTACAAGTGGTTTTGACCACCTAATGTGGGTGTTGGGTCCTCTGCAAGAGCAGCAAGTGTTCTTAACCGCTCAGCTGCCACATCTCTCCTGCCTGCTCCCTACTCTACCTTAGCAGTTTTTTGTTTTGTTTGTTTGTTTGTTTTTTTGTTTTTGAGACAGGGTTTCTCTATGTAGCCCTAGCTGTCCTGGAACTCACTCTGTAGACCAGGCTGACTCAGAGACTCAGAGAGCCACCTGCCTCTGCCTTCCGAGTGCTAGATTAAAGGTGCACACCACCAGCCACTGGTGTACCATAGTTTTTTTCTTTTTGTGCTTTTTTTTTAATATCTCCTCTTTAGAACGTCAGTAATAGGCAAGGAGGTGTTCCTGCTCCATTTCACTGCACTCTGGAAGTTTGGAGAATTAGACGTTGGGCAGGACTCACAACCACCTGGTTAGAGAAGGAGTTAGCAAGAGAACATCCTTTCTTGCTACTGAGGCCCTCATTTCTGACTGAATCTTTGTTTGTGGACTGAGACGGTGGAGGAGACCTCACCCTGCAACCAACCTGAATAATGAAGACTGCTCTGGGTGACCACAGGGTTCCAGGCAGCTTCTCTTCTTCCATCCCATCAAAAGCACTTTTAAACACACGGAACTGTTTAAAGTCTTGGGCCAGGATGGCATGGATGAGCAGGCAGAATGAGGCCTGCTTGGTTCCTATACTGACTTCCTCCTTGCAGAGGCCTCCTGTTTCTGGGGAAATGAAGACTGCCGAGTGTTCTTATCCAGGGGAATGGTGACTTGGCTTCTGTGGAAGTAAAGCCACAGTAGATGAAGGCCCACTGAGGCACAGCTGCGAGTCTGTTCATGGTGCCGCAACAAATCAGCAAGCTGTGTGGCGTCCTGCCCGTGCACACGTGTGAATGATGCTAACCAGCCCACGACTACTGTTAGGGTGTACTAAAACCTCTTTAGACTGCATGGATATGTTTGTCAGTAATGACACTACTATGTGGTGTTTGGTTGATTATGGACATTAAGTTGATTTCCTTAGTCTTCAGGACCAAAACTTCAGGTGTAACTACACACACACACACACACACACACACACACACACACACACACACACATACCACACATCCCAATAATTTCAAAAATAGAAAAGCCACCTTTGGGCAGTTTGCTACAATGTTTCGCAATGGGTCCCCCAAGTTTTCTGTCTCAGTCAAACGAGTTCCCTGTGGTGTCTGAACAGCTTCTCACACCCTTCTCTTTCTGGAACAGGAACAGTCTTCAACTGCAAAGTTGCCCTTGTGAATCTCTGACTGAAGTTCTCTTCCAGAGGGGGCCGTCCACCCAGAGGTAGGTAGATGGTTTCAGTTATTTGTAAGTTTGTCACAACGTCAGGGGACACTGCGGCATTTTTGTGGGGTTTAGGCCAGAGCTGCTCATGATGCATGTTTCTGTCCCATATAACACAAAGCCTGTCCCCAAGTGGCACCTGTGTTCTTCTGATGAAACACAGCAGCAAGCCTTTCTTTCTGGGCTGTGGGTCCTCTGGAAGAGCAGTCAGCGCTATTAACTGCGGAGCCAACTCTTCAGCCCCCTTAAATGCTTTCTTTTATAATTTGCCTTAATCATGATGTTTTGCCATAGCAATAGAAAATCAATTAAGACACACCCACATGATACTCACTATAGAGCTCAGGCTGGTCTTGAACTCACAGTGGTCCTCCTGTCTCAGACTTCCAAGTGCCAGTGCTACAGGCATTAAGATAGTCTTCAAAAACCCACTCTTGTGTTCCAAACTTCTTATTCACTTGTCCTGTGCATCTGCTAATGAAGCTCGTACCTAATGATAAGACTTGTTCACCCTATTTTTATGTGAAGAGGCTCTTCCAATTTCCCACACGTCTCCCTCCACTTTATGCTTTGGAGGAAGCCCTCCCTGGGTGTTGGGCTAGTGGAATGGAGAAGCCATGTGATCAGAGGACCAATCCCGTTCCTGTGACTTGTGCAGCTCAGTCCAAACACAAGGTGTCCAGGCAGGCCTTTTCTGGGGTTCTCTGCTGAGAGCTGAGGAATGTCTCATTGCCCATGAATCCCCAGAGCAGAAAGGCTCCCTCGGACTGGAGTGGTGTGCTGGGTTAAGATTTCGATGAGCAAGCAGAGGAAATGAATTATAAGAGAGGAAAGTAGGGCAGAGCCATACTCAAAGAGACGTCAAAGAGAAGCTCAGATACTAAAAGTGTGGTTCTGCTTCCCGGTTCCAGAATCAGGTCTCCGTGAGGCCTGATTGTGCCTCAGCTGAATTACGCAAATGATGATTCACTTTGAATTCTTACCCCAACTCCTCCCTTGCTCTAGAGCCAGCTTGCAAGAGTCTAGTTTGCAAGCTCACAAGAGCTGACTGGAGACTCTGCTCCCTCGTAAGACTGTCTATGAAATGCAGCCTGTGCTCTCCAGGGCGTTGTTTTACTCTCCCTCCTTTCCTTTTGCTCAATGGAACAATCCAGGGGAAAGATTACTTTGGGTGTCACCTCTCTGGGTTACTGCTGAGCATCCATATCTACTACAGCTTAGGACTTGCAGGTACCTCTCTGAAAGCTATGTTGTCATCGGTGGGGTTTTTGCTTGTTTGTTTTGTTTTTTGGTATGCGTATGTATGTGTGCTTGGTGTTTCTGCATGTTCATGTGGGCGTGTCTTAATCGCTTTCCTGTTGCTGTGGCAAAACATCATGATCAAGGCAAACTATAGAAGAAAGCATTTGAGGGGGCTGGAGAGATGGCTCAGCCGTTAGTAGCACTGACTGCTTTTCCAGAGGCCCCATGTTCAATTCCCAGCACCCACATGGCTGCTCATACCTGTCTGTAACTCCAGTTCCAGGGGATCTGACGCCCTCACTCAGACATACATGCAGGCAAAACACCAATGCACATAAAATGAAAATAAATAAACTATTACAAAAAGAAAGCATTTAATTGGGGGCTGCTGCTCTGGAGTTGTAGAGGCCATGACCATCATGGCACCGAGCATGGCAGAGGTAGGCAGGAAGGCACGGCACTGAAGTAGTAGCTGAGAGCTTACGTTTTGAGATGGCAATAATGAGAACCTTGATGGGGGTGAGGGGCAGAGAGACAGAGACAGACAGAGAGAGACAAAGAGACAGAGACAGAGAGGCTAACTGGACTTAGTGTGGGCTTTTGAAATCCCAAGCCCTCTTCCCCCCATATCTCCTCCAACAAGGCCATACTCCTTAATCCTTCCCAAAAGGCCCACCAGCTGCAGACCAGGGATTTCAAATACACGAGCCTATGGCGGCCATTTTCATTCCCATCAACACACGATACTTATTGCATCCCTAGACAGGCCAGAGGTTGACACGGGACACCTTTTTCTCAATTGCCACCATATTTTTTTGAGACAAGGTCTCTCACTGAACCTGGAGATTGCTGATTGGTTAGACTAGCTGGCCAATGGGATCCAGAGTTTCTCTGTGTTAGCCACCTCAGCTCTGGGGTTACAGATAAGCACGGCCATGTCTGATTTTATACATGGGTGCTAGGGATCCAAACTCATGTCCTCATGCTTGTATGGCAGACATTTTACTCATGATGTTGTGTTCCCAGCATCCCTATTTTTTTTTTCTTTAAAGGAATGCTGGAACTAGAGATCACAATGTAATTCTAGGCTGTCCTGGAACTTGTGGCAATTCTCCTGCCTCAGAATTCTAAGCACTTGTATTACACTGTGTTGCTCTATACTGGGGTAGTCAGTGCTTTCTTTAGAACCACACAAAGCACCATCATTGTCCTGAAAAGCTGGAAGGGCTGTTTCTAAAACAGATTGATGTTATCCTAGCATAAACGTAGAACAGACACCTAATATGCTCGTTATGTGTTTAAACACAGATGCGCTTCAGATGTTACTGTTGTTATTGTTGTGCACCGATTGTCTTGGCAGCCATGTTGGTAGGAAGTAAAGACACCTGGGTTACATTACTACGGCTTGTGTTTCGGGCTAGCTCACGGGCAGAGATGTGTGCCTGTTCATGAAAGCTGTGTCTGATCCTTTCTGGGGATTTTCTTACTTGTGTTTTTCTTGGCTCTTTCCTTGAAGTTGGTATCTTTCTGCACAACTGCCCAGGTGGGCGTGGCCTTCCCTTCCCTCTGCCAGATGCTTGGGCTCCGAGTTGAGGTTCGGAGCATCTACAGTCTTCTCTTTGCCATCGCCCTCAAATGTCACGTTTTCTTCAATCACTTAAAGTAATTAGTAATTTAGGTGCGGCAGGATATGAGTCTATGCCGGTGGGGTTTTCCCAGCCCAGCTTGCCTTCTCTATTTCCCTTTCTTTCTTGCTTTTATCTACCTGAAAAACAAGACAGCAGGTTCTTAGACTCTGTGACGCCTTCTGGAGACCCATTGTCTGGCTTTCTTGGTTGACCACCTTCCTCTGGTGCTAGTTATGACAATGGGAAGACTGTTGAGCCAATCATCCTACTAACATTCACAAAGCTCTAGGGAGTGGCTTGGTTTGACTCCTATGTAGAAGTTTATAAGAATAGTCGTGATTTTTAAAAATCTATTTTTAGCTTTTTAAAATAAAAAAAAACACTATGTATTTGTGTCATGGGAGTGTAGTGCCCGTGGAAACCAGAAGAAGGTGTTGAATTGTCTGGAACTGGGGTTACATGTGGTTGTGAGTGGGTTCTAGGAGCTAAACTCCTGGTTGTGAGTGGGTCCTGGGAGCTAAACTCCTGCTTGTGAGTGGATTCTAGGAACTGAATTTGGGTCCTCTGCAAGAGCAGCATACACTCTTAACCATGGAGCCTCTCTCCAACCCCCAAACAATTGTGTTTGAGGGGATACAAATGTTAATGACAGATACAGTCTCCTCCCAGCCTTAGAAGTCTGGATGTATGCGTGCATCAATTGACTTTGGGATATCTGGAGTCTTTTAGTTGGAAACAAATGACCTGTGTATGTAGATGATGATAAAGTTGCATGTTCTCAGCCTCTTCCTTAGTTTGGTCTGTGATTCTCCCCTTCTAGGGTGATCATCCCGTGGAGGCAGAAGCCTTTAATCTAACTCCCATCATGGTGATTGATGTCACAAAAAGCTGAGATGTTAACTTTGTGATGGGGCAATATTATGTATGATGCCCACCTGGGGCATCCTCATCTTGGCTTTGTCCTCTTGGTGAACCCTGGGTATCACCTATGCCTCTCTGTCCTGGAATATGTGGTCTGATGTTCAGTCTTTGGGCCAAGATGGATGTAGAACTTAAAACCTCTTGAGATTCCTTGAAAGAAACTGTTTGCTATGTGAGGGATGAGGAGAGGGAGATGTGTCAGGTGACTTGAAACACTCATCAGAGTTTGAAAACTTTCCTAGCACAGGCAAGGCCCCCGTGTTCAATTCTCAGCACCTAGAGAAATAATCTTCACTGGATATTTCTCTTCCTTCCAAGGTCCCTTGGTTTTCCTACCCAGTGCCCAGTCTCACTGGCTGTCCTTTGCTTCCTTTCACTGATTGTAATCTCCCTGCAGGTTCCCAATTCTTCACACATTTCCCTGGGACGAAACTCACTGTCAAGCTTATAGTCACAAAACAAAGGCCCAAAAAGTACTGGGAACTCAGCTTCCTCTCAGTGCGGACCAGTGTGTGGTCTACTGCTTGGAGTCTTAGCCCTCAACCAACCCATGTAGGAAAGCAATGGATTTCCTTCTGATAATGTGGGGTGATCCTGGGAGGAAGTCTTATTCCAGGTGTCAGTGGAGGAGAACATCCCCCCTCTCATTAAACCAGAAACTGGGAAGCAAAAGTAGTCATTAGGAACCAGAGAGAAAATTGTCAGACAGCTCTGGGCTAAGAGATGGTCAGGCTGGCACTTGAGTGTGTCACCCTAATGATAGTGTGACTATGGCCAAGTTCATGGATGGGTAGGTCCTAATTGTCTCTTCCTCCTCAGCTTTCCAGCTGATTCCATACATACCCTCCTCTCTGTACTTCATCTGCCATTATAACTTTGTTATTCTGGCACTTGCCCAGTAGAGCGTTGGTTTCATGTTGTATCATGGTTGCTTGTTCAGATTCTCCTCTGTGTCCCTAGGTCTTCAAAGATAAGGTTGCTTTTTCCCCCTTCAACTGCAGAGAGGTCATCTCTCATATGAGGGTTTGATGACCTGCTCTAAGGAAATGGTTGGAAGAGGAAAGGAGTTGGACAGATAAAAGTGACTCTCTGGCTTCTGATTTCTTAACTGTATGGTCTAGAGCTCCTGCCTCTGTTTGCTCAGGCTGAACAACCTTTCCCTTCTATGTTGTGAAATTCTTCTTTCTGAATTTTCTGAAATTCTTCAGT